AAGATTGAAAAGTTTCAACTTGTTTCTTCTTCTTTTCTCATTTTGAAACACTGATATTCATTAAAATTTTGATGCTATTCAAAGGTAAAACATGTTGAGAGGAGAAAATGAAATAACAATGACAGCATGAATTTTTAGTGTTCACATGATTATATGAAATATTGTATCAAGCAACATGAACCTTTCATGGTGAAAATATTTTTCGTTGTCATTCCACATCAAGATCATTTTGTACCTTGGCTTTTCTTTTCAGGAGAAAACAAAAAGATGAGATTTTTCTTGTTCGTCTCTCCTTCCTAATATCTTTGTTATTATTTTGTTTTTTTCATTTTCTCTCTCACAGAATATCCTGATGAAATATTTTTATACCATGACAATAATTCTGACAGACAATTTACTTTACTTATGATAATAATTTTCTTTTCCCTTTTCGTTTCACTTTCTTTCTACTTTTAGCCCTTTCTGTTCAACTTTCTTTCTGTCTCATTGAATCAGTAATCATGTCGGAATCTCAAGAGCCTGGTGATAAACAATCAATCTCATTGCAAGCCTTGTTATCAGTCACATTTTATTCATTTAGTCCTTTCGAATCTTATTGAAAAAATATTAGAAAATGGAAAATGAGAAAAAAATTGAAAAATGAAGTTGAATCAATCTGATTATTTTCTTGTATTGTTTTGATTTTTGTTCAACATGACAAGACAATGCTGAGAATTGGATTGAAACTAGAGTGAGATTGATTATTGCTTCAATAAGAAGTAAAGTTTAAGCCACTTTTTCAGTTCTTTACCTGATGCTGTTAATATGAGATGAAATGCCGATGAAAATTTGATTTTTTTGGTAATAAATAAAATCACAAAACGAAATGATTTTTTGTTATTTCGATTGGTGATACTCTTTGACTTGAAGCAAAACTTTATTGAGATAACTTTAACCATCAACAGATATTCAACTTTATTACTTGATAACATTATTATTATCCTCAAGTTGATGTCTGGCTGCATCTAGTGATCTACTCTTCCCTCATCAGCTCATGATTTACTATTTGCACTTATATATTAATGATAATAATAAAGAAAATGAGAAAAGTTAAATTCTCACCCTTGACTCCAAGTGTTATCATAACGAAATGATTTGATTATTTTTATCATAATATATTTTGATTTTTATTTGCAGTAAAAGCAACAATGTTTGTGCACTCATCTTCATTTATGGTTCACAAAATATCATCATGTTTGTAATGATATAGAGGTATGATACATGATGTAGTCATGATATCTGGAATGCTCAAGTTGATCTTAGTCAATGCACAGAGAAAAAAGAATGAGAAATGTAAAGTTCTTTTATTCATGATTAACGGAAAATTATATTCATGGTATTAACTTTATTTATAAGAGTAATAATTTTACATTTAATTGATACTGTCAGTGTTCACATATATTTTATAGCCTGGATTTGCACGAAAAATGAAAATTATATTGTTTCCAAACTATCTTTTCAATTTCATGGATAATAACTATAATTAGCATATAAATTCGAGTTCATTCAATGGAAATAATAACAATAGCTGAAATGAAGCTGATTTTCATATATTTATACATGGGAAAAGTAATACCATGAAACTGTGAAATTAATTTCAACTTGCTCAAATTCTTGTTCTTCGATTCAACTTTGCTGAAGTAGAAATGTCATTATTGAATGTTGACTGCATGATAATATTCATATTTTTGACAATGAATTGAGAAAAGTAAATAGAAGAATTTATTGTGAAATTTATTAACATTTAACTGCTATTATTATGTGACATTATAATGCAAGATTTATAACTATTTGGTTATAAAGCTAATGTTACCTAAGTATGGACGTGAGAATAGATGAGCTTTTTTATAATGGAGCCCACATAATCCATCAAATAATTCAAGTGATGACTTCATGCATATTACGTAGACTACTCTAGTGACTTTGACTGAAGAGTCTTTTTAATGAGATTGCTGTTGCAATCAATAGCACTTGATTATGTAATAGCTTAAAAATTTGAATGAGAAATTAGAAAAAAAATATTGATATTGATTATCGAAATAAGTCTTTATGTTCATAATGCAGTATTAAGCCATATTCATCGTCTACGACCACACCAGACTGAAAACACCGGATCCCGTCCGATCTCCGAAGTTAAGCAGTTTCGGGCCGGGTTAGTACTTGGGAGGGAGACCACTTGGGAACCCCCGGTGTTGTAGACTTTTTGTTTCATTTTGATATCAAAATACCGAAATTAACATAAACTAAATGGATATGGATAGGTATAAGCATTCAGGACATTAAGCGGTCTATTCTCTATTAAAACATTTATAAATCTTTCAGGTAGTTTATATTATTTTATTATCTGAATCTTCACATCAAGAGGAAATATGCAAGTCTCAAACTCTAAGATTGCGTACATGAATGCAAAAAGTTTAAGAAACAATCTTCACTGTAAATTTTGTTTTTTTTGAAATTTTTAAATCTATTCTTATCAATCTACATTATGGAAGTTGTAAAACTTATAACTGAATGGAAGACAGCAAACATTCATCTTTATGTTTGCAATGAATGTCATCTGAAAGATTTTCGTATTCAAGAAATATGCTGTACATTTAATAATGCAATGTGGATTATGACTCGAAGCTTAAATGTTTTTTAATGTCTATCCATATCCATTTAGTTTATGTTAATTTCGGTATTTTGATATCAAAATGTAACAAAAAGTCTACAACACCGGGGGTTCCCAAGTGGTCTCCCTCCCAAGTACTAACCCGGCCCGAAACTGCTTAACTTCGGAGATCGGACGGGATCCGGTGTTTTCAGTCTGGTGTGGTCGTAGACGATGATTAAGGCTTAATACTGCATTATGCACATAAAGAGTTATTTCAGTGTTTCAACAACGAATATCAATATTCCTTTGCTTAATCATGTCATTTCTTCGTTTCATACGACCACTGGTTCAAAATATATCTTAAAATCAGAGAAAAAATTTCAATATCTTCATTTTCTCTTTCGATTTCTACTAATTAAAGCTCGTTACATTGCGTTTAATGTTTGAAAATTGCTCTGAATATTGGTGAAAATTTAACGAGCAAACCAAAAAGGAACTTTGCATTTTTTTCAATGTAGCTGATGGAAAGGCCAAGTTTTAATCATCTCAACAACTCGTTCTTTTCTGATTGTCTTCATTATGAATTAATTTCTGTTACTTTTCAAATGCCAAGTAAGAAAAAAATGAATGATGCCAAACAATTAGGTTCACAAAACCCAATTAATGATTTTATAAATGAAACAAATCATGAAAATCGCAACACAATACTGAAACAGAGTAAAATGACATTGATTGAGAAAGTGAAACAAATTATGACAATGATTAATGTAACATTTCATAATAAGTTTTGAATATACTCACCTATCAACAGAAAAATTAATCAATGGACTTACAAAAATAAAAACTTTCGCACTTTTAGAACTCTTCATTTTATCTGACGAGAATATATTTTTTAATAAAACATAAATGATTGCTTGTTGTAAAATAATAATAAAAGGGGAATTTAGGTTTTTGTAATGAACAAAAATGCTCCAGTCCATAATTCAAGCTGAAAAATGAGAGAAACGTTGATAAATATCTAGAAATACACTGAACAAAAGTAATTCTTTGATTGACTGAAGACAGCTATTTATTATTGAAGCTGTCGAATGGATTTCATTTATAAAGATGAAAATGAAATAATCCCATTCGAAACTAGATTCGTAAAATTTATTAGTCTAGTGTGTTGCACAACCGATATCGTTACCTTGTGCGAAAACCAAAGTCGTACATCAAGATTGGATTAAAGGCTAGACAGATTATGAGCTACTAAAGGATATGGAGTGACAGGTGTAAAAGGAAAATAAAATGTTCATTTGGAGCAACAGGTTTGATTGAGTAAAAACAATGGCAATTAATGTTTCATCTTTTCATGTTAACTCACTTCTAGTAGCACTTTCAATCCTATTACAATGGTTTTGGTTAACTCAACTCCATAAGGAGCAACTTTTCACTTCAACTAATTTTATGGATCAACAACGAACCAACCCAAATTCAACGTCAGATTAACAGCATCAGCTTCTCTATTCTTACATTCATCATTATCATCCTTTGGTTTAACCATTTTTACTCTCATCCCATTTCATGGTTACACAAAAAAACTCTTATCAATTCATTTCCTTTTCTGCGAGTTTATCAACTTTCAGAGTAATTCTATTATCTAATGAAAAAGAATAAGATTACATGGTTTGGCATGAAAAGCAATCCAAGTTTGTCATTCTCTTCATTTCGTCATTTACACCAAGAAATTGAAATGAGTTGAACATGATCAGTAAAGAGTTTTACAGCAGTTTAAAGATTTGATAAGATGAAAGATGAATTATTCAATGGACTATTTTATTGAAATATTACATGTTTATTTTGGGTGAACAAAATCAATGCATTTATGGCGAATCATTTGTTTCTCAGTTAAAGACAAAAACATTGAATTGAATAAACAAGTCTAAAGACTCTTGAGAGATCAACTTTCGTCGAAATCATTTTAATGGATAAAAGTTTGAAAAACAAGGAAATAACATGGAAAAGGTTAAATATAAAATCTATTAAACGAATAAAGATTCGTGTTTTTGTGAATCATCAACAAGGTAAACGAAAATTTTGAAAACATTTAAATCCACCAGAACAGACTGAAACTTTGTTATACTGTAGATTAATTTTGAGAATGAATTTAGTTTTGTTCAATGGCTTTTAATAAAAGACTGGATTAAGCTTTTCACTAACGATGATTACCAGTTGGATTATGTTGACTCAATTTCTAGTTGTTTATTATTAATAAACAAACTGTAAGCTTGTTCATAGTTTTGGTAAAAGCATTAAAAAGTAAAGTTCAAAATTTCAGTTTAAGCTTAACAAATAGTGATTATGTGATGAAAAGTAGCGATTAACTTACTCGATGATTCATGAATTCCAATAACGAAACAATCCAAAAGGTTTAATATGAAGCAACTGAATCAAATTAATCCATGGAAAGAGAAAAATTTTTATTAAATTTATGTTTCAATGTTTTATTGGAAAATTTGTGTGATGAAAATGATGATGGTTTATGATGAAACTTGAAACTATCTGATGAAGTAAAGTGAAGCAATTTTTCATTCCCAAGTGTTGACAATTGATCGTTGAATAGTTAATTAACACATTTTTACGTGTAATCCAATTTGAGGTGAACGAAGATACAATTTATCCAATTGAAATATCATCCATCAAAATGAAATCAACAGGAAATTTGGGTTAAATTTTTCTCCATAATAATTGGATGAAAACATTCTTTTGGCTGATAAACTATTGAATTTTACGCTTACAATGCTTGGGTAAGAAGAGTAAAGGATGAAGAACAAGAAACTTGCACTTATCAAGTGATGAGCGATTTTCACTCCCAGTAAACAGTTGAATCGGTTAACTTATCAGGACTTGAGCCAGACTTACTTGGGAAAAGAGAAAATGACTGAGAAAATGTTCTGAATGAAGTGAAAAAACTGAAACGGAAAATTGTTGAAAAGGTAATTTTGCGCATGATAGTGATACATTTTACTCCCAGCTTACAGGGAAGCAACCAAGGTATTAGTGAAGAGGAAAAAGTTTTCTATGAGAAGAGTTTATTTTTTGTATTATTTACGTTGCAAATTTTAAACTCCAAGTTTGTGCCCTTTTCTTGTGTTTTCATTGGAATCACCATGAGTATCTCTTGTTTTATCAAAGAGAAAAAATGAAATTGAGTTGAAATTCAAAAGAAGATAAAGAAAAGGTCGAGATAAAGAGAAATCCTTGGAAATTACTTTTCTTTTCTTTCATTTTATTTTCAATTTTCATCAACTCTTTTTGTTTAGATGATTCCAGTGATAATGACGGCTGAATTTGAAAACAACTGATTAAAATTGTGATATGAGATAATGAAGTGATATCAATGGCTGAAATTCAACTTGAATCGATAATTTATGCATTTAATGAGAGAAAATTGCTGGAATTGAATTTTTCCATTTCTCGCTATTTCTATCTCATCATTTCTGTTCATTTTCACACAGTTTGCTCAGTAATTTTCAATTTCAGAGTTTTTCGTATTGATAAAATTCTCAGCATTTGCATTGCAAATCTCAAACCTGGAATGGGTAAAACAAGAAAGTTGATATTCATAAATGTTATTGATGATATCATCAGAATATGATAGAATGAATTTTGCCAAATGTTTCATTGAATAATTTATCTCGAAGTTGTAAATAAAAAGAAACTAATTCTCATTAGAGTTTGTTAATTGTTATTTAACTATTGTTTCACAAGTTGATTAGATAATCGATAATGAAAAATTGGCTAAATTGAACATTTTTTTCTATTCGACAAAAGATTTGAATAAAGCGAAAGTGTACAAAATGTAAAATGATTAGTAAATTGTTTTGCTAATGAACATTTAAAGGTTCATTTGATTGAACTGTCAGATTGTGGCTCATAATTATCTATTCATGATCATGGAATGAAAACAGTTATTCTCTCTTTTTTTTCTCATCAATCCACCTTTTTTATCAGCATTCTTACTCCCATTATGTTGGAAAATCAATACAATCTAATATATTGAAAAGAATTCCAATGAATAATAAAATAATTCTTAGCAAAAAACGAGCTTCTATTGCTATTGTTTTGCTTCTAATGATGTGGGCTGATGAAGAGAAACTTTTGGATTAGAAAGGTTGATGAAAATTTATTGGCCTCAAGTATGGCAAGATAAAGTTGCGAGCGAGAAGATGAATACCCATGAATGGTTAAATATGAGATGTTGGCTATAAATTGATTATTAGGTAACAAATGAAATGTTCATAAATCATTTGGAAATTACTTCACAGGAGTTTTACTGTGTGCTCTCATAATGTAATGGCTATTTGGTTGGGGTAATCATTTTATCTGGATTAAAGTATACAAAATCTGAGTTGAGTGAAAGAGATTGAATGGAAACATTGAATAATGATCATTATGGTGCTCATTATTTTCATCATTTTATTGTTTTCTTTTGTGGTGAATAGTAGGTGTAGTCAGTTAAATCACCAAGGCTTCATAAAAGGATTTAGTTTATCAATACAAAGTACTTTGATATGCATGCAGAGTTGAATGTAAAAAAAAGATGTTTTTTTTCTTTAATAAATATTCATTCAGTGACTTATTAATGAAGAGTTTGATACAATATTGCACCCAAATACTGAACACGAAAATTCAAACTCAACGAATAATTAACAAGAAAATTCATCAACACTGCTGCATATGCAAAAACTTGTTCCATGCATTCGTGGATAGAACTCATTCTTCGTAGATTTCGTTGTTCGTTCCCAAGAACAAAGGACTCAGAGTTTTCCAGTTTAGTGATTAAGCATTTTCTCAGTGAAAATTGGCGAATCAACCATTTGGTTTTAATATTCTTACAACATTAAAATAAAAAGTACTTCAGTAAATTTTTTGGTGCAATTAGTGAGCGTTATTGTGAGCGTTTGCTTGGCACATCACTTTTGGCGCAGCTTGAACATGGACAACTTGTGAGATGAAGATGCATCAAGTTTCTTGACTGAAAAGGTCAAATATATGACTTAAAAAAGAAGAAACTTTTTCTTTCTTAACATGGGATCAAACACTGTTAATATCGCTTGACAAAGCTCATCATAATTTTGTGCTTATTTATTCATAAACATATCAATCACTGTTATTGCTTGTTGATTTTATTGTTTAATGCTCTATTTATTACCTTTCCAACACCAAATAATCCATCAATCAGAACTTTTATTTTTCATGTCATCATTCCGTTGTTCTATTCTTGAGGATTTAGATTGTCATGCATTGGGGCTTGAATTGAGTTTTTCAAGTTTATTCAAATGAAAAGTGAATATTTTAATATGAATCAGCAAATAAAATTCATAAACATAACAAGCCAATGGATTAATATTTAGAATAAGAATAATAAAAATGAAAGCACTTTATTTATGAATGAGAATTTTTCATGGAAGAAATGATTTTATACCTGAAATCAACATTTACATAATGCGATATTCAAACGAAACCTATTCATTTGATTAAATTAATTGAAAACAAAAATAGTTAATCCGATTATTCAAAGTAAAGTGTAAATTGGTAAACATGTTTTTCAATAATCACAACTAAGTGACAATTAATTTCAATAATAATGCTAAACAAGAGATAAATATCATGTTATTGAATCTGTCGATAAATTCATCAATCAACTAATGTTCCAACAAATTTGCAAATTCAGTGTAAAACCAATTCATTAAACTTTTTATTTGATGCTGCTGTTCATTTCAATAACTCACCTGGGAGTTCAAAGTACCTTTTTTGGTTTCTTTGGTTTCTATTCCTGTAAAATGAAATTGAAATAGTTTGAAGAATCTCAATGAGCCATGAAAAGGTGAAAAGTTTAGTGTAGGTTGGGTTATGTAGAGCAAGTGAACAAATGCAAGGTCTTTAATTAGTATCCAATGTTGTTATTGTGATAGGAATAAAAAGAGGGTTTAATGTTGGGATAACATGATTACTTTGTTTATGTAAGAATTTAATTGAAAGAAAAAAATATTTGAATGAAACTCTTTTCTTTCTCTTTTTATTGTCGTTGAGCTTATGTTGAAAAAGTATTGCGAGGTTATTTTAATGTGATGAAAGTTAAGGAAGATAAAGTATAATTGGGAAGAAAAGATGGTTAAAAGGTAATCATTGTGAATGTGAAACATTTGAATATAATTAATTGAGATTATTTTGCATTCTAATTCTTTCAAGTTTACTTATTCACTGAGTCTATTCAGTTTTCTATTCATTATGCATAAAATCATTTATGGTAATGAGGTAATATTCATTAGAAACAATGAACATTCTTGAGAAAATTAAGTTCTTTATTTTCATTTTCATTCGAGTTTGCTGTTTTTGTTTTGTTATGAGTGTCAATTAGTGATGTTAATGAAGTAAATTTACGGTTGAATCGCAAGTAAATAATGATTAACAAAGTGTTTTAAATGGGTGAATGGCTTGAGACAATAATTATAAAGAGTTTCAACTTGCTTTTTGATGCAATTTTTGCAAAGCAATTAACGAAAATTTTAAACTAAAAAAGATTTCATTGAATTTTGTGAAGATTAAAATCAGAGTTTAAAATTGAATAGAACTGAAAATGCTTTAAAGTTTATTCAAGCAACAAACATGGGATACTTTTTTTGTGAAAATTTACATTCCATCAGTCTATAAAATCCTTCTGGACACGCTTAGAATCAAACGAGAGATACGACGAAATGAAACTGGAATAAAATATTGATGAAAAATCATTTGTTTGGGTTACAAAAATTATGTCCTTAAGTGATAATATTAATATTTAAAGTTGTTTCATAAAACTTTTCAAGACAAAAAAGGTTAGCAAAAAGAGCAAAGTGTTTCAATAAATTTTTCATTCCCTGAAAATAATAGATAATGTATGACAAGAAAAGAGCAATTTGTGCCTTTTCTTCGTAAATTGGTCAGTCATAAAAATTTTTTGTTTCGCGACAGCAGATAGAATTGATAATGAAAATGATTCAACTTGAGTGTTTCCTCTTTAGATGATAACTTTTACAGGGAATCGTGTGAAGTGAAATGAAATTACATGGAATATGAAATTTTTATTGATTGAATATTTTATGTTTGGTTAAACTTGTTAGACTTTGATGTTGAATCACATTGAACCATGATTAAAGTATGGGAATGGAAATGAATAAATCAATTGATGAATTATGTAAATTCAGGTGTTATATTGATAAAGCCATTTATTGATGTGACCAAGAAGTGACAATCATACTTGAGTATCGGGAAGCTGTGTGTGAATGGATTGTTCAAGTATAACCTGTTTCACTATCACAAGTCAAGTTGATTGTAAATTGAAGAGTAAAGTTTAGTTATGAATTATGAAAGGCAAATAATGAGTAAAGAGAATTTAATATTGAAATAGAAAAATCAATATTCCAAGTTGCTGTTCGCATTTGAATGAGCTAATGTAAGTGACAAAGAAACTGATGATGAGTCTGTGAGTTTCATCAGAAAGGATATGAAGACATGATGGAATAGCTTTTACTGATCAATGAATTAACAGACAAGAAAAGTGTAGAGTTAAGTGAAAAGGTCACAAGATTTATTTATATTAAAGGATTACTTAACGATGAAAAGATGAGAATAGAAGAAGATGAACATGAAGAAAGGAGAAAAGATGAAGATTATGATTATTATGATGTGGATGCTGATGGTGAGGATAAAATTTATATTTCCATCTATTCTCATTGATAAAAGAATCCATACTTTGTTTCATTATTTCATATTACATTTCTTTGAGTATGCAAAGTCCATTGGAACGGAAAATTTCTGGTGATGGTGAGGATAAAATTGCGATTGACACAATCACACAGACTTTGAATTATTATTTCGTATTGTATTTGTTGTATATTATAAA